TTTGATTCTCACAGGACAGAGGCTATGAAGACCTAGGTAGGAAGTAGATTCCTAGGCTTGTTTCTGTTTACACAGCTGCCTCTTCCCTCCATTTTTTTTGAGCAGTGTCTAAGCTAAACCAATGGATAACTCCTGCTTGAGTTGTCTCTGTAGTCAGACACCTGCTTGAGTGGTCACCTGTGAAGCACTGTTCCCTAAGCTTTCATGCACCCTTTTTTCTTTCATGCACCATTCCTACCTCAAGAATACGCATATTTAACTCTGACAGGAATCTTCTCTTCTTAGTGGATGTTAATTGCTTATAATTCTACTGTACACAGATGAGCAAAAAGCCTTCCAATTAGTCTGGCTGGATCGCTTATTCTAAACTGTCTGTTTCTATTTTCATAGCAATTGAAGAGTACAAGCCCTTAGATGCCACCACAAATCCATCCCTGATCCTAGCTGCTGCTCAGATGCCATCCTACCAGGAACTTGTGGATGAGGCTATTGAATATGGAAAAAAGCTTGGTGGGTAAGTAATCCATTGATTTGAGCAGGCCAGCTTATATCTGACCTACAGAAGGATTCTGAGGAGCAGACAGTGTATTCAGGATTTTCCCTAACATACTCAAAAGGCCCAAGTTCTGATTCCAGGGAACCTCCAAATAATAGACTAGCCAATGAAGTGAAGCAATACAACATACAAACCACCAAAATTGATGACCAGCCACACACTGATAGAACAGCATGTAATGTTCTCAGCAGCCATGGAGACTCTCTTTGTGACTTAAGTTTCTGAACTGCATTAAAAGGTATTCCTATTCATATCCCTCCTTAAGTGGCACATAAGATTGCTTGGGGTATACATTCTTGGGACAGGTAGCATTAGGGAGAAAAATTAAATACAGGTGGAATAGTATTTGCTGCCACTGGTAAGGCATAAAGGGGACAAAAACCAAGGGAGGAAAAGTAGGGAAGAACAGTAATTAGCCAGTGACATGAAGCCTGACCTTCATTTGTGGTAGATTGTAGGGAGGCAGTTGGTGAGGGAGTCAGTGTACTGGCTGATCATCTTCACAGAAATAATTTAACAAATTACACTCCATTTCCTGTTTTCAGGTCAGAGGATGAGCAGATGCAAAATGCCTGTGACAAGCTTTTTGTATTATTTGGGGCAGAAATACTGAAGAGAATACCCGGCCGTGTGTCCACAGAAGTAGATGCAAGGTTTGACTTTCTTTTCTAAAGCAGAGCAAGATTTTTAGAGGTCTAAAATGAAGGGTGTAACATACAGTTTGCCTAGGATGTTTGTTCTGACTTGATGATGCTAGAACAGAGTGAGCTGTCCAGAGTTTATGTTACTAGTCTTTGTTTAATTGAGACTTCACATAATTTGTCTGTCTAGGAAGTATGTATAGCATAATAGTTAACTATGAAGAAAATTTAAACAAGGCTCGTCTTAGCAGCAGCATTAAGTAGCATTCTCTATTTCTAGCTCATAATCTTTGTTCTAGCATTTTATCCCCTGAGCTAGCGACTCATGCTTCCAAATATACTTAAATAATTTAGCTGGGATTCTTCTCTTTGTCTTCCACCTAACAAAAGAACACACTTTGGTGGTTCATTGATTCTTGCATGAGTGTAACAGCTTGTTTTTTTCCCCTCTATTTTTTCAGCTTCTGCCTTTACATGAATATTAAAGCAAACTTTAATCTGTAAATTTACCTTGAGGGACAAAAAAGACTTTGAAAGAGTTGTACAATTGTCTGATGCCTTGAGTAGCTTTAAGAAAACTGACTCCATATTGAAGTATGCTTCACTGTATGGTTGAAAGATAGATCTGGGTTAGAGATAATGGAACAAATATTTTCAACTTAAAGAAGTCACTTTCTCATTTCAAAGGTTGTCTTTTGATAAGGAAGGAATGATTAAGAGAGCCAGGCGTCTCATTGACCTTTATAAGGAAGCAGGAATTAGTAAAGATCGCATCCTCATAAAACTCTCTTCAACATGGGAGGGTATCCAGGCTGGCAAGTAAGTATTTATTTTTTCATAGATGCTAGGGTCGGAAGGGACCTCAACAGATCATCGAGTCCAACCCCCTGCCTAGGCAGTAAAGAGCGCTGGGGTTAGATGACCCAGCCAGATTCCCATCCAGCCTTCTCTTAAAGACCCCCAAGGTCTTAAAGAGCACCACTGCCCTTGGAAGCCCATTCCAAATTTTGGCCACCCTTACTGTGAAAAAGTTTTTCCTGATGCCTAGCCTAAATCTGTTCTCTGTCAGTTTGTGACCATTGTTCCTTGTTAACCCAAGAGGTGCCTTGGTGAACAGGGCATCTCCGATCCCTTGCTGCATCCCCCTAATGAATTTGTAGGAGGCCACAAGATTGCCTCTCAGCCTTCTCTTGCAGAGGCTGAAGAGGTCCAGGTCCCTCAGTCTCTCCTCATAGGGTTTGTCCTGTAAGCCCCTAACTATATGCGTGGCCCTCCTCTGGACCCTCTCAAGTCTATCAATATCCTTCTTGAAGTACGGCGCCCAAAACTGGATGCAGTACTCCAACTGCGATCTGACCAATACTGCATAGAGGGGAAGTATCACTTCCTTGGTTATATTTGTCATGCATCTGCTGATTTAGCTGATGTACTGATTTTAAGTACATGCCTCTAATGGCTGTTTAATGGGCATTTATTAAATCTGTGCATTATTTTGAATGCTATTGAGAGCCACGCACCAGCAAATTGCAGGACGCTGGCTTTACATTTTTAAAATGAAGTCAAACAAAGAATCTATTCATACTAGTGGCAGGTGACTTCAGTTTGTAAATTTCACTATCCACTAATAACATGAATTCATTTATATTTAAGTTTTTAGTTATTTTATTTCTGAATGCAGTAAAGAGACTCCACATTTAAGCTGGCCCTTTTTTGCAGGGTTTTGGAAGAGGAATATGGGATCCATTGCAACATGACCTTGCTGTTCTCCTTTGCTCAGGCTGTTGCCTGTGCTGAAGCAGGCGTCACTCTGATTTCCCCATTTGTAGGACGTATCCTGGATTGGTATGTTGCAAACACAGACAAGAAAACCTACGAGCCTTCAGACGATCCAGGTAACTTTAACCACATTAATAGAAATGTTTCCTCCTTAGTCAAAATAAGCTGTACTTAATCAAAAAGCAACTTATGACTAAGATTCTAGAAAATGAGATATTGAATTGTAGGAGTTCGTTTTGTGATTATGCATATTTCTTTGTACTCTTAAACTTATTTGAAAATCACCATTGTTTGTTCCTTAGGGGTGAAGAGTGTCACTAAAATCTACAACTACTACAAGAAATTTGGGTACAAAACCATTGTGATGGGGGCTTCATTTCGAAACACAGGCGAAATCAAGGCGCTCGCAGGGTGCGACTATCTTACTATTTCCCCCAAGCTTCTGGGAGAACTCAGTAAGGACAATACCAAACTAACTCCCAAACTCAATGCTAAAGATGGTAAGAGAATTTCTTTATGTAGTACTGGCATGTTTCTGTACTACTTAGAACTCATTATGTAGTTTGACACATGGCGAATATTTATTTTATTTATATGCTACCTTTTCCAAAAAGCAGTTTATAATAAAAGGCAAAAAATATAAAAACAAAATAAAATAGGAAGGTATATAAAGTTCCCAACCCCCAAATTCAGAAGCATTATTCCCCCTTTCTGCTTCTCTGCCTCTGACCAAGGACAGTGCTCTCCACCCCAGACTCACTTCCTAACCCATATTAAATGCCTCCATAAAAGAAAACAGCGCCCCCCCCCCCATTCCCTCCAGTTCCCACGACATGGGAATATAGCCCCTCTTCTGTCCCTCCCAAGCTCATACCTCCCTCTCTCAAAAGTAGGGCTGTGACTGTCCTCAAAACCCATTATCCTCCTCTTCTCCTCCAAGGAGAAGAAAGAATTAGAATCCTCCTCTTCTAATTCTTTCTGAACAGGAGAACAAGCAAAATAATAAAACACCCCTTTTCCCCACAAAGGGCAATGGCAGTGGCCATTGACTGTTCCCCTTTCAGTAGCACCCACCCAGGTTAATCTTTCTGGCTTGACGTTTGCCTGCTTATGGTCAGTGTCATAAAAAAGTGCTTATGGACAGTGCCATAAAAAACCTGTCTCCACTTCATATTCTTGAGGGTACTTTCTGCTATATTTGTACAGGAACAAATATTTGAACAGGAAACTAAATTGGTTCATTAATGTGGTAAAAATAGACATCATCCAGTAGGCAAGATCATATCTTATGTACCAATTCAGTATTCTAAGAGTTTAAAAAAAGTTTAGCAATATTTTACTGTCATTCATGTATGCATTCCTGTTTTCTTTTAGCTTTTCTTCCTAGCCTTTAAGTCTTGAACTGCAGGATTCAAAAAGATGGGAACTGTGCACAGATATAGGCATGAGCTGCTACTTACAGGGTGCTAATGAGCTGGCAGGCGTATTATCAGTTGTGCTTTTGTTAGGCATTTCCTGAATAATCAAAAGAGCTAATTGTTCAGCATATTTGCTTGACTCCTCCCTTTGCTGTAGAATTGTTGTAATACTTTCTAATGGAGACTGAAATCATAGTGATATTATGAAGCAGATACAAAAAGACTGTGTGTGTGAATATCCCATCCCAAAACAGAAACAAGAAATAGAATAGGTGGAATATTTTCCTTAAAGCTGCAGTTCAGAATAGGGTCTGCATTTTGCCACTTCTCAACCTAGCAGAATAAGCGTGATCATTTTGTGAGCAAAAGGTATTTGTAAGTTTTCAAACTTCAGCTGATAGCAAGATTGTAACAGTAGCTTAGGGAGGGTTTTTTTTGTTTGGTTGGGTTTTTAAAAGAAAGCAGTAGGGATGCGCTGATAAAAAATTTTTGGGCTGATACCAGTGCCAGATTATCAATGAGCCATATCGGTGGATACCGATCTGATTGCTGATATGCAGCCTGGCAGCTTGCAGAGTAGCGTCTAGCTGGTAAGTCTGTTGTGGGGGGAAGGGCCTGAGCAGCCCCACTCCCTCCCCACCCTGGACTTACTGGCTCTCCAAGCTGCCAGGTTGCGCACAAGCACACAGCATTTATCGGCAACATTAATGGCCACATCAGCCAAAAAAAGCTGATTACCAATAATGTCAATGTTCCTTTTATCAGTGCTGACATGATATGGACTGATGTATTGGTACACCTCTAGAAAGCAGTTGTGTGTTCTAGATAGTTCTAAGATGTACAGATGTCTGTTACAATCTCCTTTGTATAGCTCAGGCATGTGATTTTGAGAAGCTTCACCTGGATGAGAAGGCATTCCGCTGGAAGCATAATGAAGAGCAAATGGCTGTGGAGAAGTTGTCTGATGGGATCAGGAAATTTGCTGCTGATGCAGTTAAATTGGAGAGGATGTTAAAGGTAATACTGAACTCTAGGCAGAACCTGTTGGGTGTATGTTTTAGAGATCTGGATGAACCCACTTAGCCTGCAGCTGGCCATTGTACTGGGCTTGATTAACCACTGCATAAAACACTTCTGGACTTGAATACAAGTTATTCGTGACCCTTTCATATATTCTTGCATCCCACTTCTGGGTCACGACCCACAGGTTGAGAAATTCTGTCCTAGATGACATAACATTTACTTGTTGCCTTAACGCCAAGGAAAGCATACCAAAACTGAGAACTAACACGAGATGCACACAATCATGCCTATTATTATAAACCAGAAGCAGTACTTGTATTGGCAACTCCTAGAGATAACAGTAGAGCCAGTGATTAAGGGGCTTTCACCAACTCTTTAATTTAAAAAAAAAAAAAAAAAAAAAGCAGCACAACTTTTGTTTGCTTATCAGCATTGATATGCAGCACAGTAAAACTTGGCATACTTTCATAGTGGCCAACACAAACTGGTAGTGCAGACTGATGCAATCTTTAGGATGCATGGGAACAGAAGTAGAGAGAGCTGTCATTTTTACACATTTCCATAACTGTCCTTTCCATTTAATGCAGAAATGACTGAGTAAATTACACTTAACTTGAAAAATAGAAATGTATCAGTTTTGTTACATATACTAGATTTAGGCACATGGTGACTGCTAAATGACTGTTATACTGGCTTAATGTTTAAGCACTATAATTTTCACAGTGATTTAGGACTCCTTGTGAAAATGCTAACTGCAGTTTCTTACATTTCCCCCCTACCAGGAGCGAATGTTCAGTGCTGAGAATGGAAAATAGACCAA